CACACACACACACACAGGTCACTTATCTTCTGCAGCAAAACTCTAACTTAATTAGCTAGCTAGTTTTCCGAGGTTTTTGTAACATTAGCTTACGAACATAAAATGTGTCGATATGTATGTTTCTGTCATCTTTTAACCATATTCAACATGTGGTTGTATTTTCAACTTAGCTTAGCCTAGCACATATCATATCTGAGTAAAGGAAAGTTGACCGAGGTCCAAGCCTTGCTCAACTGTTATTGGAGCACAGAGCAAGAAGGGGTGGGACTTAGGAAGGGTCAATCAGATTTGCACTGAAACGTCAGAATTAAAGCTATGACCCTCATCAACAGTTGAACTTGTCTACTGCCATTAGTTCAACCAAAAAATGATCCGTCACTGTTTTATTTAAAAAATAATACAAATACAAGTAATTCCGATAGAATCAAACAATGACTAGGGGAAATAATAAATAATAATAATAATAATAATAATAATAAAAATATTTTGTGAAGCAGAAATATACGTTTTCCTGGGTGTAGCATTCACTGTAAACACTATGATACTTGCATCGGATTGCTGTTTACTGTATCTGTCACTATCAAACAAACCTTGAATAAATAAATAAATGATAGTGCTTACATACAACCAATTCTCCAGTGGACCCCCAAGCTTCTGGAGGCGTTTTTTTTACTCTGACTACTAAGAAACCAAGTGAATTTCATATATGAATGTGCATATTGTACAGCTTTCTGTCTTTCCATTGCCTGTATCAGTGAGTGTGAGTGTGAGGGTGAGTGTGTGTCAGTGTGTGTATGTGTGTGTTTAACTACAGTTAATAAAGAGCAAGATATGAAAGGCGGACTATGCTTACAACCCGGACAGAGGACAGATTGGCTCTGAGGTTGCTTGTCGTTGGCACTCGATCACACGTAATTTGTATTAGGTAACATTTTACATGAGGAAACCTCTGCATTATTGTGCTTTACACAGCAACTCAAGAGTTGCTTGTGATCATCAAATAAGATTTTTGGCTAGTTGCACGGAAGAAATAGGGTTTAAATAGGTTTTGCTAGTAAATGTTACTATAGCTATTATTAATAGCTTGCAGAGTAAAGTGTTAGCATCAGTACTGACCTCTCTGATCATGAAATGTAAACGATGACAAAATCTGCTGATGATCATCAGTTATGGCACAAATCATTTAGAAACATACAAAAGTCTTGGCTCTAAAAACCATGCACAAACAGGGACACACATGCATACTGACGCACGCTCTCACACACACACACACACACACAGTCCTTGATGTGCCCAGGTAAAATCAGTGAATGTCTGACATGAAGGACTTAATTTGTCTTTTCCACCTTCTCTCCTTTTCTTTCTGTTCCCTCCTTCCCCACCTCCCTGCACAAATATAATCCTGTTTAAATAATGAATGTCTTATTTACACACTCTAATTTATCATGCAAAGCTGGTTGCAAAGAGTTTTCTGATGCTAAGCTACTGCTATGGTCAGATTCCATCTCTGTGGAACTCTCAATAAGAACATCCATTATTTACACAGTAGTATATTTCAATGCCTTTGTTCTCTTTCTAGAAAACCCAGGTGACGGGGACCCACTGGGGGTTTTTAGAAACCGTTTCCAGGGCGGCCTTGACGGTGCGGTAGGTCTCATCCAGGTTGTCGTTGATGATGCTGAGGTCGAAGTAGTGGCCGTAGTCCGCCTGGATTTTGGAGCTCTCGTCGCACGTCCTCTGCAGCTCTTCATCCTGAGACGGAAAGCACGTGACTTGGTTTAGCATGTTCTTATTGGACTCCCAGGACCTCTTCTTTCAACTATTTTCAGTTTATACTGAGGTCTACGCTGCTTCCTGAAGTGTTTGTTTTCTCTACATGAACATACTGGAAGTGATTCTTACCGTCAGTGCCTTAGTAACCACCCCTGCCTCTGCGGCTGAGTCGTTCATCGCCTTGAGCACCTCGAAGTCTGGAGACTGAAGGAACACCACATAGGGCAAAAACTCAGAGGTCCTCAGCACTTTGAGAGACTAGAATGAACACACAAACACAGTGGATTAGAAAGAGGTCTTAGAGAGTTTAAACAGCTGGTTTAGATCCACCAACTGGCTGGAGATTCCTGACTGGTCACAGTGAACATCAGTTGATATTAGATGCCCTTGAGCAAGACACATGACACTCAGCTGACTGAATGGATCCTGACAATACAGGACAGAACTTGCTAACAGTCATATAACTTACCGGTAGACCTTATATTGCCACAGCCCAAAAGTAAGAGTTCAAATTAAGTAGGATTTATTTCATTTTACAGGAAATTCTTATTCTCACCTCTCAAGTGCTTTTTGCACGTGCAATTAACATCTCTGTGCATGTATTTATTAACCACAACAAGAACGTTTTCCACCAGGCTTTCATGAGAGTTCTGCTCACAGCTCTGGAAAAAATACACCAAAAACATCGCTACAAGTTTGTCCCAGGTTTGTTAAACGCGCTTTGAAGCGTCGCTCTGCGCAGGTTATCCTACCGACTGTCGAGTTTCAAACAAAATACGTAGGCGTATTTTTGCTGCTTTTCCAGGACGTATGGGAGCCCTATTTGTCGTAGATTTTCTTCATTCTTTCTTCTTTGCCTAGGCCTTATTTTTATACTAAAAATGCATCAAATGACTGTGAGTAATGTGAAAGAGGTCACTTGATGAACCCACAAAGAAATATCACCACAGTCTCCAGTTGCCTTTTTGAGCCTTATGTTTTGGTTTAACAGTACTATTTCTGTTTGGTCTCACTGCTCCTGCAGCCTCGTTTTCACACATATTGCATGCATTCTTTGAATTTGTGTAAGGGGCGTGTTCATGCTAAAACAGGGTATTAAGCTGCTTCTTAATGTGTGCGTGTGTACGCGTGCGGACCTGAGGGTTGGTGTCCAGTATGCAGATGCGTCCAGCCTCCACCACCTCATGTATGGAGTCGATCTTGATACCGTACAGGTTGCCGTCGTACTCGCCGTGTTCAAGAAAACGCCCGTTCTTAATGTCGGTTTCCATCTTGCTGCGGCTGGTGAAAGCGTACATCCGACTCTCGCGATCTTCTTTTTTGGGCTTTCTGGAGGTGTCTGGACGAACACAAAAACCCAGTCATTTATGCACACACAGGCATTTACCTCTCCCTTTGGGTTAAGCAGCTCTTAGTTTGTTTAAATCATTTGTGCTCACAATCTGCTGCATGCTATATGATGCACAATGTCAGATTTCATACATGGAATGGTGGTGCCGAAGAGAAGCGGATCCCTCAGTAAAAGCTTGTTCTTCAGTCTCCGCCGCCCCACACCCTGGGAACCAATCAAAATCAGAGTTTTTCTCTTGAAAGGCGGGACCTTGGCCACCTCCTCGTAGAGCAATATCTCATGTCTGTCGAACTCTGAGAGGCAAAGAAAAAGAAGGAGGATAGAAAGTAGCTGTTTTTTTAACTATAAAAAATAAAATACATCAATATTTGAAGTAACACTAACAAAAGTTTGCAACCAACATTCTTGATTAAGCAGCTTTTTCTAGAAAATTGAAGTAACACTAACTACATTTTGTAAGTTAAAGAAACCTTTGTGAATAAATACTTTTTAATAGGTATTTTGTTTTCACAGTACAAACAATTACTAAATTAAGTCAGTGTCACTGAAAATTACTTGTAAAAGCTGTTTAATCAAAAATGTTTTTAACTTACAAAATGGAGTCAGTGTTACTTAAAATGTTTGATGTAATCAGTTTCAACATTTTCAGGTTTTATAGTAAGGAAAACCACTACAAAAGGACATCACTGAACTACAGGGCCAAACTAATAATAATATGTTTTACGGGACAGGCTTTCTTACCTGCATTTTTGGTGGTCACATACATCATTTTCTTCTTCTTCTTCCCACCAACACCAGTACAAAGATTTCCTGCCATATAAATGGAGCATCAGGCACTGAAGTCGGACTTGCATTATTAATTACTGGCTCAATCATCAGCTGACTAATATCATATCGATATCATATCAATCACATTCATAGAGGGGTACCTCATGTTGCTAATACCCTGAGATATTTTAGGAGCTCCCTTAAAGAGCAGAGCCTTTTCTGCCAACTAACCATTTACTGTAAATGGACATTTTCCTTGACATAAGTGTCTCTGACTGGAACGTCATAGATTCATGCAAAAGTTTAACATTATTAAAGGAAAAGTTCAATATTTGGGAAATACACTTACTTCTTGCCAAGAACAGACGAGGCGAGAACATTAATACTAATCTCATGTTTGTAAGCTAAATATGAAGCCACTGCCAGTGGCTAACTTAGCTTAGCAAAAAGACTGGAAACAGATAGCCTGGCTCTGTCAGGAGGAAACAAAATACACCAGCACCTTTAAAGCTCACTGATTAACACGTTTTATCTCACTTGTTTAATTTGCACAAGTGTAAAACTGCAACCAGTGAAGACTACACTTCCACCCAGGTGTCAATCTTCTCATTTAACTCTCCCCTGAAGAGTGGTGATTATTATTAGCAAGATGAATTGGAAAAACATGACTCTCACATCTCATGTCATCCTCTACTATAGCCTCTATCATTTTGATCTTCTCTCTTGCACATTTCACGTCTACAGCCTCTTCAGACATCATATTACTCGTTTTACAGTTCTTCATTTGGTGTTTATTAAAGCTCCCTTGATCATTGATACTTTGGGTACCAACTAAAACTTTTTACCTGGCATTTAGTTGCAGACATGCCATTTCACCACCAGGTGGCAGTGTAAAGAAATGGGAACAATGGCAAACATTGTACAGTAGGGAAGGTATCACAGTAACAGAACATAAACAGTTTGTACTACAAGCTAAACCTTCTATTCTCAAGTCAACTAAATCAATCCCACTGCTTTTCATGTATCACTCATGCATGAAATGAATAATTAAAAAGGTTTATTTTCTGTATTCTTCAATCTGCACCCTGTCATCATTATGTGCCACTTTTATTCTTTCATTTTTCTTCATTTATAATCATTCTTTCATTGATCATCGCCATATTTTCTTTTGTTATTATTCTTTATTATTCTTTTGTTCCAGTTACCTGCAGGAGCCAGCTCCACATCTCTCTTGACAAACGCTTTCCTCTTCTCCTCCAGCATCTGACTGGGGATCAGCCCCGCGCTACCACCCTCCACATGACGGGCCTGTATGAAACACACACACACACACACACACACACACACACAGACAAAATATATACGTCAACAAAAATTAAAATCTATTACGGCTGCAACTAACAATTATTTTTATTAGCAATTAATCTGTCAATCATTTTCTCGGTTAATCGATAAGTCGTCAATCAAACAAAATGCTGAACACTGTTTCCCAAAGCCCAAGGTGATGTCCTCAAATGTCTTAAAGATATTCAGTTTCCTGTCATAGTAGACTGAAGAAACCAGAATCACTTCACACTTGAGAAGCCAAAATCAGAGAATTTGGACATCTCCTTTTCCATTCCATTCCTCTTCAAAAATGACTCAAAACAATTAATTGATTAAATAGTTGGCGATTTAATTATATAGCTGACAACTAATCAACTAATCAACTAATCATTGCAGCTCTAAAATCTATTCATACAACTTTATACATGCTGTTTTTGTACTCCACCTGCCACCAGTTGACGTCATCCTGGTTGACTATCTGCAGGATGTCTCCGGTCTCAAACCTTAAGCCCGCCTCCTTACAGGGAATCAGGTTGTCGTTGGCTGGGTCGTAGTTATAGTGACTCTTAAAGAACACCTGGAGAAACAGTTATACAAACAGGTCAATATTCACTCTTGTCTGTTTCTGTGTCCTCATGATGCAGTTGACAATGCATGCTTCGTACTGAATATTATTTCTATTTCATAATCAGTCATAATGGACTGTATTTATATAGCACCTTTCTAGTCTTGCGACCACTCAAAGCGCTGTACACTACACGTCACATTCACCCATAGTCATACAGTGATGGCAAAGCCTGATGCACAGCATTATGAGCCATTTGGGGTTCAGTATCTTGCTCAAGGACACTTCAGCATTCAGCGGGAGGAGTCGTTGATCAAACCACCAACCTGATTAGTGGAGGACGAGCTCTACCACCTGAGCCACAATGTGCGTCTACTCTGTGTATACTGTTTGTATCAGTCACCTGTCTTGGCGGTATGGCTTCATGGTAGCTGGGCAGGATCTTCAGAACTACACTTCCACTGGTTGCTTGCAACTCCTCCTGCAGCACCCTGGGGTCCTGGCCCACCTCTCGTCCATTGACCTGCCAAGACATTGGACAAACGAAAGTTTATGAAGTTATACATTAATGAGCACATTTGCAGTACTTTTAATGCAAGATCAAAGGTTAGCAAGACGTTCACAAATATCACAAAAGCTTGGTGAACCAAAAACTGTAAAATAGAGGACCCAGGACAGAGCCGTGAGGCACTCCACAGTTAAGATCAGTCAAGGATCAGTCACATGATAACGAACCATTATATTTTCCTAAATCAAACGGCCATGTGGTTTTGGTCATTGGTAATTACATATTTGGTCGCTAAGATATGAGCACGTGTTGTTCCTTTAAGACACACTAGTTGGGGACATATAGTGTTTTGGAGTGATCAAAACTCAGGTTTCAAAAGTCAAAGAAATTTCAAGGCAATCCCGACATAAATAAAAAAAATGGAAGGGGTCAGTAAAGGTCATACTTAGTTAATGTGGTCTCCCTTACCTCTTTGATGATATCTCCGACGTGCAGCAGTCCTTGCTGGTCTATCATCCCACCATGGAGGATGCGGGCTATGATCAGCTCACCGCCATCCACCTTGAACGTCACACCCTGAAACACAGTTAATGTAGTCTATTGTTTGTATCATCAATGATTACAAAATTCTACTGTAGTGAGTAAAGACAAACTACACATAACCCTCTGTTGTGTACTATTATACTAAAAACATTTAGGCATGAGGAACTGTTAAGTTTTTCATTACAATGTCAATATTTTCACTGCATCGTCACTGATTAAATGCTTTTTTCAGAATCAGAATCAGAAATACTTCATTAATCCCAGGGGGAATTTTCAGCTGCATTATTTTTTTTTCACCCCTACTCGGCCTTTGGATTTTGGTTTCTGGGCCACAACAACCTAGCCCAATTCCAGAAATGCCTTTTGCCATGTCGTAACGCATAACGTAAAATGGTGAATACTGCAGTCACCTGCCAGCTGGTTAAAAGGAGTGAGGAGTCAGCGGCCAATTTATATAGATAAACAGACCTATCAACAAAATAGGTTTTTCAAAAATGTCAAAAACTCAATCATGAGAGGTCCTTGAGCATACAGTCATAAATGTGTATCTTTTCATTTTAATGTTACCTACCAGATGCTCCCCCGCCACTTTGCGTATGCCCACCATGCGGATTGCGTCGGGAGGCGGGTGCAGGTTGTGTTTCTGGCCGCCCTCTGGCTCATGATCCACAAAGTCACATGGGCTGGGGGGCGGGCTATCACATGCCTGGGACGCCACTGAATCATGAGTCTCCAGCAGAGACTGAGAAGCCAAAAAGGAAAAAAAAAATCTATGTTAGACATAAAATAGATCCCATAAATATGTAACACTATTTGCGTTTTTGTTCCGACTAACTGGGTGAAGTAGGGCTGTGCGATAAATCGATTTTATCGATTAATTCGAA